TTTTTTAAAATAATTTCAATGCTCAAAAAATAAAAATAAAAATATGGCGATGTAGAGCGCAAAAAAATATACACCCCCATATATATATATATATATATATATGTTTTGGATTATTTTTTGCCAGCGAAAAAAAAGTTTCCACGGGCGTCGTTGTACCCCGTTCTAACGCGGTATAGCGCGGTGTTGTAATGGGGGTTCAATGACTGTCGAACCTTTCAACGGGAAAACCCCATTGAATCGAGTTTCGGACACACAACGCTAATGGCTTGTGCAGTAGGAAAGCTCATGGTGATGGAGGAAAAGGTAGAGACGAAGGTTGAGAGGAAGGAGAATCAGAGTATTCGAATCCGAGATCATTGTCTTCCTCTTCTGAATCGAGGGACGGCGTGGACGAGGGGAGAGACGGAGAAGGAGCTAAGGGACGAAGATAGGACATGTGTCGAATGATCAGTCGGGCCGATCGGCTTCCTAAGACCTTCAGCACAAGCCAGACCATGTTCACTCCACTGGGACCGAGCTCGACTATGAGGAATCGCCTGAAGAATGAAGGCGCTAACTTGCCCTGGCGAGCACATTTCCTTACCTGCACTATGTCCCCTAATTTTTATTGGGGTCAAGGGCCAGCGTTCCAATTTCGGGCCTCGTAGCTCTGGACCTGTCGTCTGCGGGCCATTTCGGCCATCCGGGATAACCAGGGGAGGACTTTCTTCATTAACTATAAGTGGCGCAGACGCCGCTGAGCCTTATCCTTGACAGTTGCCCTCATGGCTCGTCGCACAAGGGTCGTCTCATCGTTCAGGCTTGGCAGGGCTACGCAGGCCAGACTATTGGTTCGTAAATGAAAAGGAGTCAGGACGGTGGACTCACGGGGTGTCCCTCGGTGGATAGCTATGATATGGTCTACGATATCGGGCCAAGGCCTCGTGTCCGGTGCCGCAATATTTCACCACAGAGTTGTCTTAATCACCCGGTTCACATTCTCTACTAGTCTGCTCGATTGCAACATATGGGGGGCCGTATTACGAATAGAGCCGCCATGTACGACTAGGCTCCTTAAGACTTCTGCTTGGAATTCTACCCCATTGTCCATTAGCCTCGGTGTCTTTATGCATTCCAAGGAAACCGTTGACATACCGCACAATTTCCTCTGTCTGTCGTGTTTTAAAGGGGTAGGCCTTGATCCATTTCGAGAAATGATCCACGAATACTAAAAGAATTGAATATCTGTCGTGTCCACGCTAACCA